TGACTTCAGGTGCTTCTCCTTCATGGTGTCCATGAGAAAGAGCTCCTTGGGCTTCTTGGTGGCCTTGGCACCAAAATCATTTTTAAGATAGCATTGAACTGTTAAGAAAGACCCTTTTTGGCAAAAATTCTTCTACCTGGTGGTCAGTTTCCAGCTGGACACGCCTCTTTTCCCCAGTCTTTTGCATATGATCATTTCTGCTGGGGATGAAAAGACTTTTGGATGTCCTGAACAGGCCCTTTGTTGGAGACTTTTTCTGGACTTCCAGTGTTTCCACCAGCAACTGATACTTACAGAGGGCACTATAAGAATGCCAGCATTCTCCCTCTATGATTTTCCAGCCTCAATCATGCCAATGGCTTTCGCCTGGACCTCCAAAGACGGTTCATGGACCTTCATGTAGTTTGATGTTGATCCCAAACAAAATTATCTTTGTACAAATACTATGTGGTGCATTTGCTTGAGTTGCACTGGCTACATCTTTCTAACTGTATTGTGGGAGAGTCCTTAAGTTGATTAAATGATGGTGGGAACTATAGTTTATAGACAGCAAAACCATGAACCTAGTCCACTAGTGTTGCAATACTTTTGACCCATACTGTACTTTGAAAAGGATGAAGAACAATGTTAAAAAAAAAGAAGAAAGCATCCATCTTACAGAGGAAATTCACATCAACAAAGAAGAAAAACATTAACATTTAGGGCCTTGCAGCTGTCATATGACATCCAATGCCCATAGCATATTCAAATTGCCAGGGCTGAAAGTATTAATATATGCGCTTCCAGGAGAAGGTATATTACTTCTGCAGTAACACCTTTCTATTGGCAATATTGAGTATTAAGATGAGGCTGATGGATTTGGATACCACTAAATTAGCCCAAACTAGTATCAGTGTTAGGAAACTTGGTGCTGGCAATACTGACTTTTCGATTTAGTCAAAATCAACTTGCATAAGTAGAGAGAACTAATTTTTAAATGCTAAACTGGAAAACAATTTTATTAATGTTTCCTCAGTTGTGGTGTCAGCTTTAGTTGACCCATGTTGTTGACCTGAGACACAATGGCAGAGTTTCATGGACACGAGGAAGGGGTCTCTGAACCCACTGAGCTGAAGCCTTTGGCAATATCCTATGAACCCCTTCATGTTGTGGGTGTTGGGCTAGGAAGGTCACATTTGCTTGAACAGCTTCCTGTTTATCAGTATCAAGATGGGTCTATTAGAATCAGTGAATCTACATCTGGTTCCAAAGTGGTTGAGGTTGCCCTACGCAATGGGAATACCTCTGAATCTGCAGGAGCATATGGAGGTTGTTCTGCAAAGGAAATGTGGGCTCACATTCCTGAGATGGGTGAGTTGGAATCAATTTTTATGTCAAATAGTATCAGAAGCATTTTAACTTTGTGCTTCAGTTCAAATCTTTTTTCATATTTATTGGTCAGATTTTTAATTTTCAATGTCAGTCATGGTATGTTGATGAAGGAACCCCCAAGAGAAAAGTTATTGTATGGAAAAGCATTTAAGAATTTTCTAAAGAATTGTCAGAAGAGGGGGGAGGGGAAAAGTGTGAGGTATGAAATGTTAATTTTTCACTTAAAGTTGGTTATCACACATTGTTAGCTGTAAAAGTTCTCTCTCAGCTTTTATAGGAACAGTGTAGCTGCTGTGTTTGTTGGTAGAATGATGAATATTATTGACAATTTGCATGACTAAACTAATGAAGTTGTATATGATCATCCAGGGACAATAGTTAGTAAATAACATGTAATCTAGCTGTCTCTTCAAAGTCCATTGTCCCTGAGAGCACCTGGATCTTGCAGAATGATCACACTCTGAAGTTTTATCAGAGTGAATCATTTTTGCTGAGCCTCAAAGGAAAAGAAAGACTTATTGTCCTGATGTTTCATAGAAAATTGGCAGAGTTTACAGGAGTTTTGTATCATATACTAGAATCCTGGCACAATATAGCAAATTTACTTCACCAGAGGATGATGGACATGTTACATTGTTAACCTGTTAATATGACTCCCAAATGCCCCTACACAAGGTTTAACATTCATGTGTGAAGATTGGTGGAATTTTTAAATTTTCGCTCAAAAACCAGGAACCACCAGATGAACGGGAATAGAACCAAGGAAACCTCATATTCTCTGAATGTATAGTGTTTTTGAAAAATCCATGAATCCAATCACTGAATAATATTTTGACCCATTCCTGGAACTATACCCTATCCTGGCAGACTATTTTCAGTAAAATTCCAGGAAATATATTCTGCAGAATTGGTAGCTGATGATCAGATTAAAAGTCCTGTGAGGACTTTCAATACTATGATGAGGACATGGCATAAAAGCACCTTTTTTGGCATCAAGGGAGATTAATCATTTGAGCAGTGCTGAAACTCCATCCACCTCATGTGCAGGAAAGGTACATTTTATGACTACTTTGAATGACTGTCACTTTTATTCAGACTACCTAGACATGTGAAAATTTCAGAAAGCAAGTTTTGTAGTGTTTTCAATATGATACAAAAAAATCAAGAACCTAGATGATCCACAATGGATTTTATTAAGTGTTGCACGGGATGCTTTTTTTGTGCCACCCAGTATTATTTTGTGTCATAGATGGATAGATTTATATGGATATTAATGCTCCAAAGCATTTTAGGAACTTCATACTGTTGAGTGATGGAATTTAGCATAATGGTACAGCAAGTGCTATGATTGGATGAGTTAGATTTTAATGCACAAGTCTTTGTATGCATTTATTAAATGAATCCACCGGAATGTTTGATTTCGCAGGGTTTGCTAATCCAAAAATGATCTGAATCTATGGGAAAAATTGTGATGTAACTTGGCATAAGAGTAGATATGAGATTGAATGTGGACTAGGAAGAGTTCTTGAACCTTCTAACTGCCACTGACATTAATGTGACAGCAAAGAAATGCCCTCACTGCTATTCAGGCACATATGTATTTTCAATTTCCCACATGTTACTGTTGCCGTTGCATGTATGTGATCTATACAAGACTCAAAACTAATTCTACTGTCACCTATTAGGAATTTTGTGGTACTTTGCATTTTCTGCAGAAAAAAATGCAGGCTCAAACCACCTGTACAATACTCAGCATTTTATGGGGTAAAAATGCCTTAGTGAGGAAGGCTGTATGCCTAAATAAGTGCCAAGTGACCAGAATAGCTGACTAGATTATGACTTGGTGAGTGCCACCTCATCTATGCCAGGATGCTATTCCCCTCTTATCAGAAGAATAATGACAAGAAGATCTGGTTTTGCTAGGTTACATGTAGTGTGTGACCATTTTGTTGCAGCTGCTGGAATGGATAGTCATCCTCTGAATACACATACTGGAAATTCAAATGGAGTTGGGACTGGTTCTGAGCTGGAAACATATGTGTATGCTTCTAAGAGCTCAGGACCTGCTTTATCATCATTCCTGTCAACTGGAGCATCAAGTGTCTCAGTTGTCATGCCCTGTGAACCTGTGCCTTCAACAACTTGCTCTACAATGAAAGAAACAAGTCTCCACGCACCTGCTGCCTACATGATTGAATCTATTGGAGTGCCATCTCATAGCAAAAGTATGGCCTTCCTGGTCCTTTTTCACAGATTGTAGTTAGAGACCTTAAAATGTGCAAGCCTCCTTTATTTTGGGATTTTGCATCATAACATGAATTGTAGCATTTACTTCGGTTATTGAGCCTCTAAATTCATGCATTTCTCCTTGTCCTTTATGTGCAAGCCAAAAATTTTCCAGCAGGGTAAGGTGTCAGGACAAAGGCACAACTTTATGAATGAAATGCTTTCACTATATTTTCATTGTAATTGGATGTTTCTAATCATAACCTCAATCTCTCATTTGTTCATTATATTTTTTTCAGAAGAAGTAGCAAACATGCTTTCATTCCATTTCATGATTCATCCATTGAGAATCTGGAAGTTAAACCATTAAAAAAAAGGACTCACAGTACCTTGTGAGTGATGATGCATGGGAACAAGTTAAAATGAAATGCTCAGATATGTTTATGGTTTGCATTTCAAAGGTGGCAGGCAGAGGAAGTATCCTAGGGGAAGTCATGGAAACATGGAAAGAGGTAGACGCCCTATTCTCACACAAGTGGCTGAGCAAGTGGGAATAGTAATGGAGCCACCTCTAAATCATTTAGTGTGGAATAATCGAGTCCCTGATATCACATGCTCCCTGGCTCATTTATGGAATTCAAGCTCCTCCTGTGATGTTACATTGGTTTGTCAGGGTGGTCGTCTATCCTGTCATAGTGTGCTTCTTGCATCAGTTTCAAAACTCTTCAAAGTAAGCAAAAACTTCAAGTTTCTAGCAAAAGCAAAAATTACTCTTTGAATGCATGTGAGCCTTTTATGTTGTTAGAAGCTGTTGCTAGAAGGAGGGTGCTGTGAACAGAAGATTATCCATATTCCTGATTGTGAAGCAGTGCACATGCGAAAAGTCCTGAATCTCATTTATCTTGGAGAAACTCAGGTTATACCTGTGAGTTCATCATTTATGTCCTTGCTTTTTTGGGTGTTTATTCACCATATCAGAAAAGATGCTATGGGTCCACTTGCAATGCAATTGGTTTTACACACACACACACACACAGATTGAATTCAAGTAAAACAGTGACAATTCAAGTAAAACAGTGACGCCTTCCCTAGCAAATAAGGTAAAAAGGTTGGCTTAATTAGCGAATACCCAAATGGGCAGTGAAAACCGCTCTCATTTGAGGTGTGCACATAGATTGAATTATAGAATTAGATTTGTTATATGTCCTCTTCTTCCTTCTTCTGGGCTAGGAGCCGGTCATAGCCTGCCTGTTGCCTTGGGTGGCTATTGCTAGGGAAGGCGTCACTGTTTTACTTGAATTCAATCTATGTGCATGCCTCAATTGAGAGCGGTTTTCACTGCCCATTTGGGTATTCGCTAATTAAGCCAACCTTTTTACCTTACCTTACCTATATATATATATATGGCCCCTGACACCTATAAGTACCTCGGTGTGGAAGAGAACTCTTCCGTGGCTGTCAAACGCACGAAGCAAAGACTGACGACTGAATACAAACGCAGAGTCTGCCTCGTACTGAAGACCGAGCTGTCCGGCAAAAACAAGATCTCTGCCCTCAACAGCCTTGCCACCCCTGTCCTTAGCTACAGCTTCGGAGTTATCGATTGGTCACCTACGGAACTCCAAGNGATGTGGAAGACCGCTGCAGATGCTGTCATGGACCACCCGAAACGGTTCACCACCTCCTCAGTGCCTGCCCCGAACTAGCCCCGAGGGAGTACTTGTATAGGCACGACCAAGTGTGCAAGTATGTGCACTGGTGTGTCTCAAAGCAAGCCGGCCTGGAAGTCCCAGAGAAGTGGTACGAACACCAGCCAGTCTGTTGTGGAGAACGCCTCCACCAAGATCCTATGGGACATGCCTATAATTACAGATCGCAGTATAGGCTGCAATAGGCCAGACCTTACGATCTATAAGAAGGAGAAGAAGACCACCCTCCTCGTAGATGTGAGCATCCCAGCCGATAACAACCTCCAAGAGAAGACCAGGGAGAAGCTAGAGAAATACTCCGAACTGAAAGTGGAAGTGGAACAGTTGTGCGGAATGAAGACCACCATAGTTCCGATCATCATAGGCACAACTGGCGTTGTCCTGAAAGACCTCAAAGGACATGTCAGAAAGCTGGAGTGTGAAATCTCACTCGATATCCTCCAGCATACAGCAATCTTGGGCACGGCCAGCATCCTTCGCCGTGTCCTTCAGAATTAAGACGAGTATGAGGTCTGGGATGTGGTTCATCCCCCCTCATATCTCCAATACCGGCAGGTGCCATGGAAGGATTTATTTATTATATATATATATATAGATAGAAGATGTATCAAAGCCATTTTTCGAGATTCCTGTCTGGGTGCTCGTGTGGATGCTGGACTGTGGCTGATCAAGGGCTAGCCCTTCTGTCAGTGAATGTCCATCGTATTATATGTATATATATATATACAGGAAAGTGAAGCATAAAGACACGAAGGCCATAAAGCATCTTCTACTTTTAACTCCCAGGAAAGGCACTGTGCGTGGCTTGCCAACAGCAACAGACACCCATCCTTGTGGACGAATAAGAAAAGGAAAATAGGCAACGTATTCAAACCAGCAAACATTAAATGCCCAAAAAACTGCCAGTTAAACCAGAAGATGGTAACTTAAGAGAAGTGAAAGCGGTCCTGCGGTCCTATATATATATATATATATATGATTGATTTATCATGAGCTTAAGTGATCCAATTTCAAAATTGTTAAGTCAATTGAGGGACAGTTATGCTGAGTTTATGTTAGATATTCAGTGGACTTGCCTTAGAACTGCTTCCACAGCCTATATCATCTTGGATCAATGAGCTGGGTACTGAAAAGTACCTTTGGAACCCTACTTTGACCAATGAATTCAGTTCCTTTCATGTTTTCTCTGGGAAACCATTTCAGTGTCAACTTGTTTGCATCCATTAATATGTGCCAAACTTTATCCCCCTTCATACGCTGAACATTAAGTGCCCAAGAGATATATCACATTCTGTTTACCCAAGAAAATGCATTTGTTCTCTCATTTCACTTTTGGCTGTCAGCATTTCTACTTGTCACTCATTGTGTGTAAGTCTATCTCCTGTTCATCTCTTCAGATTATGATTGTGTTATATTCTTTCATTTTTGGTCATAGTCTGAAGTGCAAGATTTGGAGGAAACAGCAAGGTGGCTGGGTATAGAGTGCCTTTCATTTTTGCACCTTCATGCCTCCTTGCAGCCTATTGCTTGGGCTTCTCTCAACAACCAGTCTCCTACAAATCACGTGAGCCTTCAACTCTTTAAATGACTTTTGTCTTAGTTTATATTTTGCATATGTGTATATCATGCATTGTGTTAGGTTCAGGTGATAGAGATCAGTGTGAATACTAGTGACCTGAAAGATGAGGATTTGCACAAGAAGTTGGTCCCAGAAATGTCATCAAAAGATGCATGGAGTGAAAGGAACTCTAGAGTTAAAGCTCTGCTGCTGTCAGACATGGCTGATGAGGGATCAGGAATTGAAGATGTTGGAACTGAAGCAGATGGTAATTGGTTCACCAGTCAAGGAGATCAACATGGACAAATTAAAAGAAGTCATCCAAAGATTCAGTTGAAACTGGAAGAAAAGCGAAAACGAGAACAAGGACCGAGGAATGAAACAAAATCCAAGAGAGTGCGGACACGTTCTTGTAATCAGAAGCTGAAAGACAAAGTTCAATTTGTGTGTTCTTGCAAAAAGTGTGGAGAAGAATTCACAAGTCAAGATGTATTGAAGGTACACCTTCAGGAAGATCATGACGAAACTGACTTTGTATGTGAAGGCTGTGAGAAACAATTTTTTGGACCACTTCTTCTCAAAAGCCATCAGCAAACATGCAGACGACTTAGAGGGGCTTCCACATGAGTCCAGGTTTTGTCAAATATTCTTGAAGACTTCACTAGGTGCTGTTCAAGGGGGAATAACTTTGGCTAAGTTTATTTTTTATGTACCATTCCATTGCTTAGTGATGGCAATGCTTTATTCTAATAACTAGATATGCCTTTCAAAGTGCATTGGCATGAACATGAATGCTGATTGTTGTATAGTCTTATACTTTTCTGAAATTTCCAGTTTGAAAAGTCCTAAATTCCCCTAATGTTTATACTTTCATTTACATTCCATTTATTTTTCTATGACTTTTCATTGTAGCATCTGGTGGCATGAAATAATTTTTTTAAATTAGTTTTTTTATTCCAGTGCTAAAGTTTTCCTTGCATTGAATTGTCCCATTATACATCAGGCTTTTAATATCATCATTTTCCCACGCTACTATGAGGAAGCTCAAGCAGAGGCGTAGTGAGGGGGGTGCAAACTCAAAAACTCAAAAGTTGGAGTCCCCGAGGGACTCCCTGAGTTTGCGCCCCCCTCAGCCCTGTTCCCGGGGGCAACTGTCTCCCCTGGCCCCCCCTTGCTATGCCTCTGAGCTCAAGGTTTGAGAAAAACTATTCTGCACTATGATTATCATTATAAGGTACCTATGCCACAAATGGAGAGCATAACTTCTGTAAAGTACCTGGAACAGTGAAGTAACTTAGACATGGAATGAGATGAAGACTGAAACTGATGAAATTCTGAATGGAATGGCATGGCAGTATAGAATCAAACACATATCCAGTAGAACTATGAGCCAATGGAAACCATGATTTATTATTCATTTTAAAAAGATGTCTGTACTTGGTGCAGTAAAATACTGGAAGGTGGAAGGAGTGTAATGCATCTTTAGAGCTGTTTACTCTTCAGAATATTGAGGGATAAGGCTTGCCCGAAGAGGCTTTCATTGATACTGTTTAGTGTCCTATTCATTAGCTCAACATGATGCAGACAATGAAACTATTCTCATTAGGCTTCCTGCTCTCAGCACATTTGAGGATGTTCCTTGGTGTGCATGATGATATGCCAGACTACACTGGTCAGTGCACCTAAATTCACATCTAGTGGTGCATTAATTGGGGTACTTTCAAGATAGGAAAATGTTTGAATGACTACTTCATTCTCCTGTTAATTTGTTCCTGGGTCATGTTTTTGGAAGCAGCTCATATAAATTCATTCTATTATCATGGATGGAGAATCCAATCAGATCAGACATGGTTTATGTGCAACTGTTATAATCAGATGATATGCTACTAGCTACAGGTGTTTAGCAATACCATGTAGGATTCTTTAAGTCTGTTGTTGAAGTGGTGAGCCTATTATAAGTTTTACAACTCCCTGTCTTTTCAATTAATTTGATCATTTGTCTACCTTATTCTTTATTAGTTCTGAGAGAAGTTTTTAACACCAATTCAATTTAATGACTATATAAATAATATGACCAAATTTCCTCTTCAGTTACTGAGACTGTGAGAGGGATAGTATTGTTAAAGACTTTTATCCCTCTTTGCTGCCCCCATCTAAATCAACTCAACCATCTTTGGATGGATGCACTACAGTAAACTTTTATTATGCCATCAACTCTGCTTAAAATTAAAGGGATAGTTTCACAATATCAAAAGGTGATTCAGCAAGAAATGCAATTCCTTTCATAGATTTCTTGAAAATCAGCCATCAATGACTACTTGATTACAATGACTGTGATATCTAAGTAGTCTTATCTGACATGAAAAAGATGCATCAATTTCCAACCAGGAATAGTCTTTCTGGTTTTTATGTTACTTGGTTAGGATACTGTGATCATTGGTCATGGCTCATTCCAGCTTCATGGCAATCTTGATGGAGGATGTGTTCTCTGTGGAGTTGAAAAAGGAATATGTGGAAAGGTAGATAATATTATGGTTCTTATGCTTGAAAGATCCATTGCTGTGTATTTAAGAATCATTTGGGATGATGTAGAATGGAGGAATTCTCTAAAAAAAAAATTGTTTTGATTGCTGAAATTTAAAAGTTGAGAGGGAAATGCATAGAACAATTCCTTCATTGGAATTTCAACTGTTTGATTATGGCAAACAATCCTAAGATTATGGGATGTGAGCCTTCTGCATCTGACTTTCTTACCCCACTTCCCACATACTCATCAGTAAGACTCAGTACCTTTTCATAAGATCTCCTAATCCATATATTGTAGCCTCATTCATCCTGGAATGCCCAATTACTTGTAGAACTAAAGTCCATGAACCACTGAGCGCAAACACTTCTTTTTAAATTTTCCTTTTTTTTCTGTTTTTGGAAGGTAAAGGCCTTGGGTGTAAGTCTTCAATGTCTCACTTAAAGATGCATCCTGATGATAGAATGAATCAGTTTTCTGTTCTTATATAAAAATGAACTAAATCAAAGTAATCCTGTTTCATTTCTGATTCATTTATAATCTGCTTCTGATTGTTGTCTAAAATGTAAGTCTTTCTCCTTTGTAGAATATTTGCATTCTAATCCCTGACAGCAATGATAATTCACTTGATTCTCTTTTGAGAAATGACATCCATCCTTAAATTGGACCTGATGCTATAACGTCACTGCCATGTTTAGCCAATTTTGCTAGTCAATTGACTGGAAACCTTCATTTGAGTGATGCTATTCCTGTCTCAGTCAATAACCTGGAGTGAAAATTCAAGAAAATAATTCATGTTATTGGCAAGTTGATGCAAGTTGATGCACTCCTACAATCAGCAAATTGAACTGCACCAATGATAAAATGATGTGAGAGCTGGGGAATAGAAGTTGAAAATCTGTATTAACACATTCACTGTGGGACCAAAATACCTATAGGTATACACTATAATCACCAGTGACTCATGTAGCAGTAAACATGTTGATACTAATACTGAAAAAGGTTGTATTTTAGTTGGTAGAACACCTACGTTGTTCAGCTTTTGTGTAGGTGACTGTTTCATCAATAAGCTCCTCATGGTAGTCCAGTTTTCAAGTGCTGTTATTTATGGGTTTGCTGCCAATTGATAGATGCATCATTTGGTGTTTTATTTTGCCAGTAATACCTGTAGGGCAGGTTTTCCCGAGGGAGATTCCTTGTGCATTTTTTCAGAGACGTGATTATTTTTCTTTCTTGCCTTCCATGCTTTCCAGTGCCTTCTGTCAGCCAATACTAAACTCCAATGTGTTGTGAGTTGAAAAAATCTTGCTGTGAAAGTTGAACAAGAATTTGTATTTTTGAAAGAGGAGTTGTCTATACCCCTCTGGGTGTCCAATAAGTGACTTATAATCATTGTACATTCCTTTGCATGATGTACTTTGACTGGTTGAGTCATGCAAAATTAAAACAACCTTTATCATTAAGAGTTTTTAAGAGTAACAAATGCTTAGGATTGCATTAGGGAAGCATTGTTCTAACATTTAACAGTTTGCTCTAGGTCTGTGTATTTGAGAAGTATGAGAATGGGTTGCTTTACAGACACCTTCTTTACCTTTCTTTCCCAGCTAAAGCCTTCCAATGTATCCATCTACCAGAACTCATATCTAATACAGTTATCCTTAATTTGCAAGTCAGACCTCTTCCTGGATTGCCATCAAGTGTGATGGTTGGGCCATGTCAGCTGGCCTGGTACAATCTGCTTATCTCTGCTTATATTTTAAGGGACCCACTAACTTGTTGGTTTCCATTAACTGAGTCACCAGCATTAGGCCTGTCCCTTTGAGTGTTGGCTGTCTTCTTTTAAACTAATGCTATTTTCCTTCTTTCTATCAGTGTGTTCTATGGTAATGTTGTGTCTTATCCTTTCACTTGATGTCCCCCTCAAAATATGTCCCCTCCTGTCCCTCTCCCCAAAGCATGGCTGAGGCAAGATATGAACAAACAACCTAGGAAATACTTAGGCACAGCAGTTACCACTGGGATACAAAGCCATACTTTGGTAGGAACTCAATGCAAGTGATACATGTTGGGTAACCCCAAAGAAGTTCCAAGTTTTTCATGCCTGTAGATGGAGCACCATAAGAAATACTGATATGAAATTTGCTGGGTTTCACATCATGCTTGAATGCTGAAAATTACAAACATGTTAACAGTACTTCAAGAATGCATGGATTCCTTTTTGAGAAGAAAGGAGTTCTTTAGCTTTAAAGCATCCTTGTCTCACCTAAATGAGGCTTGTGCATTTGGGCTTACCTTTTGATATTTTGACATGCTGGGAAAATGCTGTTACTTGGGCTTTGAAAAAATTCATTTAAATTTTGGAAAGTCATCTACATGCTATATGTGGCACCCCAAAATTTTCCTGCCAATATCTTTGATGGTGTACCATATGCAGGCATATATAGGTCTGACCTTTTTTTTGCACCACCTGGTGTAAGTAGCTATTTATATAAGGTGGCCAAAAAAAGTTAATTAACTGCTTATGATTTCCAAATATATTAAAGTAAACATGTCATATTTGCATTAGATGTAGTGCAACTCTTTGCTGTTCTGTTTTAATGTATTTTGCCAAAATCAAGCTAGTAGTCAATGAGGCATTTAATCCTCTGTACTCCATTTTTTTCTTAATGCTATAACAAATGTCAGACCTGATCTGACAGGAGAGCACAAAGGGTAAACTCTGTTATGCCCAGAGGTTTTATTTGGAACTGCGAATCTAAAAAATTTTTCCCAGCCTTGATTATGGTTTTTTTTTTCAATTATGGCTATGTTAGCTTTACCACAGCAATGCAAGCTGCATCATAATTTGTTCGCATAGTGCCAGTTGTGTTTCTGAACATGTGTAATGCAGATCAAAGAGAAAACTGCCATTTTCAAGATTTTGAAGATTGAGTAATTTTAAAGTATTAATTTCCCAGCTTATTATATCCCATTCCCCAGAAATATTAAGCATACAATGAGAAATTGGAATTTAAATACAGGCAGAACTAGTCAAGTTGTTCCATATTATGTAGTTTTTTAATACTTTAAATTTAAATTTAATTTATTTTCGACCAGGATTTTGAAAGTATCTACAATTTCCTAAGCCTTGTGGAATCCACAAAACAGAATTGCATATTTTTCCCATGTCTGAAAAAAAAAGGACATGAAAGGCTTGGGCCTGAATGTGCAAACCTCATTTAGGGGAAATAAAGGGGCCTCTAAGCTAAAGAGCTCCTTTTCTTCCATAGGAGTCCATGCATTCTTAACCCTTTCACACCTGGCATCCATTCCAATGGGCATTGCATTTTCATTGTGTCTATGGTAATTTCTTGGGATTCTCATGACTTTGCACCCCATATTACACTACAATGGGTGAAATGATGCATGGCTCAATTCCATCGGAGGCCTTCTTTCACCCATCAGTTTTGTAATCTTCAGTTATGTAATACATATGTAATATGTAATGTCTACAATCCAAACAAGCACATCTCAGAACCAAATAGTACACAGAAAGAATCACAGTAGCATGAAACTACATCCTACATGAGAATACAAATTTGTGTCTCCTGTCCTCAATGTGTTAACCGAAGGAGGTTCCAGCATTCAGGCCTTGATGTTTATAAGAACAATGCAAAATTGTGCATTCTTAAGGATCATATTGGAATGTACTGTCACTTGGCAACGTACCACTTGCATAACCTCAGGCCTTGCTGATAGTGGTTTTCACAGTGTCCTAATTTTGTGCTGTCTCTTCTTAGTCACCATGATCATCTTTGACAATGGAGCTGATAATCAAAGTCCTTTTCAGGAACAAGGTAATGGGACAAAGAAACTGGTTCAGGAGCTTCTAAACCAAGGATGAAACATGCAAACTCTCTTCAAGTTGAGCATAAATTCTGATGCAAGGCTTGCATTGTCCTTGAACTCAATTTATCATAGAAAGCAATTTATCCTGGCTTGCTGTTTTTTTTTTTTGTGTCTTGTTCCTTGTTACCTGGAGCTGGTCATTATGACCAGGAGTGTGAAATTTTGCTTGACCCCCATGTCACATGCATCATGTTGCAGAAGTTTGGACTGGGAAGATGCTTTCAATTTGCATGATTTCTCAGACTTCAAAATGCATAATCATATTGCTTATTTGTGGTCAGCTTCATCTAGCTCCTTAAGGTCTAACCTAATGAGTTTCAGGTGATTTTCAATTGTGCCAACAGTTCATGCTGCTGTATTTCATCCTCAAATCTGCTTCTTCTCCCTTCCCCCATCCTCTTCCTCAACCATAAGCCACTTCTCCATAGTATGAGTGGGAGGTGCATGCTGAAATTTAGCTGCACCTGCCTCACTGGCATTGATGTCCTATGTGCAGTGCCCAATTGTGTTGTGATGGATGGGTCCAGAGAATTGGTATGCAAACTGCAGCCAGTTTTCATTTCCTTGCCATTCAATGACATCTTGCAAGGAATTAAGCTTAACACTGGAGAAATGTAGAATTTCTTAATGTGGTCTACTCCAGGTTATCTAAATATTGATGTTGCATGACCTACCTTGGACCTGTGAACACAGGATACCAGAGTGTCACAGGATAGTCTGGTAGATGTCTACTTTTCTCTGCCATTTTCTCTGTTCAGCCTCAAATGTAGCAGTCCCCAACCTTTTCCTGTGTGACCCCATTCAGACAGGTGCAAATTCGTGCAGCCCCAACATGATGCAGAGGCAATATCAATGTTCATCTGTCAAAAATATGGCATTATAATGAATATTTTATGAGTCACCATGCATATAGCATGATAATAAAAATCACCCTGCCTGGCAGCTTTGCAACCTCATTTTTTATTGTCACAATTCTAAGGTTGAGAACTGCTGCTCTAATGTTATATTCCTTTTTCTATTTGTTTCTCTGTCCCTGTGCTCGATATATATGTTTTTGAGATTAAGATCAAGCTCAGAGATCAAATTTATATGCAATCCATTGCTATTTGCAGAAAGGGTAAAACAAATCAATTTATTTTCAATTATGTTTGAGGTTCAGAGCAATTTGAAAATCATTGCAGTTGTCACCATGTCCAGAGTTCCGTGAATGATGCTTTTTCAATGTAGGTCAATTTTTCTGGCTTCTTGACCATGGAGCTTGTTGCAAGGCTTAATGGCTGGTGGGACACAGCTTATAGAAACTGCCTACTAGTCAGCATGCTGCTCCCTTTATTACATATTGTATCATTTTTATGGAGCTAATTTTTTGTAATTATCTGGGGTTTGTTTCAACTCCGGGTTCAGGAGAGAAAATTACTTATTTTACTTACAGTTGATTTATAAGAGGGTAGAAGCAGAATGGCTTCCAAATTTTCCTCTCTGGCAAGGGGGGAAGTGTCAGAAGGGATTGTAGATATCCTATCTCATCTGGATCCCCTCCTCAAGACTGTGATTGGATCAGCACAAAATTATGAAGCTCTTGATGTGTTTCTTGAAGCTAATCAGCATCGATTTGAGTTCAGGAACACCCTTCAACATCTACTTGAACATGAATTGGGGGATCTGATCACCAAAACTGTGGAGGATGAAACATTAAGCTTTGATGAAATGGTTGCCAAGGTGCAGCATTTGCAGATATTTCAGAAAGTGTGTGACAGATTGGAGGAATCTTTCCAAGAGGCTTCAGAGGAAGTTCTTGGAGCCATTCAGTCTCTTTCTCCTGAGGAATATATGAAGAGCATGAAGGAGGACCCAGTGGAATTTGAGAATTCCCTGGATCAGAGCACAGTGATGTTCATGACAGCATCTGAATATGAAAAGATCTCAAAGAACCTTGCAGTACGCAATCCTGTTAGTGTACGTGTTGAAGCATTGAGCAGGCTTTCACGTGTCCAAGTTGGAGATCTTGTTGCTAATGAGAGTGCTTGGCTCAGAATACGAGAAGACCTTCAACATGCCATCTTGGATTCCCATTCCCAGTTGACTCAAAAAGCCCTTGACTTTCATGCCCGCCTTCTAACTTCTACTCCTTTTTGTCAAAAGGAAGGATACATGAATCTACTTGAATGTGTCATGATTGGGCTATTATCTCAACCACAAACCTGGAAGAAAGGTATTTCACTTCATGACAATAATATAGACCGTCTCTTGCGAATACTTCACCTATGCCTTCAATTTGCCAAGCAAGTTTGTAACAAATGGGTTCGTTGGCCAGGCTCATCAGTTGAAGAACTCATTGATAACACACTAGATTTGTTGGCTGTTCGTGATATCCCAGCCTTGGTAGAGAATAAGGCTTTGGAACCTCTTGTTCTGCTTGCAGTGTTAGACCCTAATGCCACTCTCTTCCACTTCTGGGGACATTCTGGCTATGGACAGAAGAAGCTCATTGGGAAGCTTGCCAATATGGATGGATTCCTGACATCATGCCTGTCTTTTTTTCTGTCAGTACCTACTTCTAACTTTCAGAAGTCCCTCCACAGTTTAGTTGAAGTAGGCCCAGACAGTACCAGTAATGGAACTAGCCCTGCAATTCTCCGTCCAGAAACTGTGATCCTTTGTGTAAGTATTTTTGTGGTGAGATTTTCTTCATTGCTTCTTTGCTACAAACGATTTCGGAAAGCTCTCTTCCCTGTGGTGCTCTATGGAATTGATAAGTCAGTCAATCCAATAGACTTGGTTTCTACTCTCATCAAGATTGCTTGCTATGTTATTCCTGAGACAACTGCATATCATCATGTGCAGAAAGTGTGCATTGCATGCATTCAAGACTTGGACAGGCACATCACCTCTATCAAAGATCTCCTTGTGAATGATGCAGTCATGAAACTCCTCTTGGACCCTATTAGGAGGCTGACAAGTCGTTTTCGTGAGAAAAAGCTGCCAAGTCCAGAAAATCTTATCTCTCTGGGTTCTATTCTGCTGGTGATAGTGAAGTCTCCTCCTGGGATTCAGTATTTGCTTCCAGATGATCCAACTAATACCTATACAAGGGCCAAGTTGATTGTGTCTGCTACCAAAGGCCTCTTGGCTGAAGAATCTGCTGCAGCTCCAGTGTTTGTGGAAGTTGCCACTGAATTTCTTGTGTACCCTCAAGGATTTCGTGTTTGGGATTCCTTGTCGCTCCCTCAAGCGGTTGCTGAAGCATCCAAGAAATATTCCAAGCTGAAAAAAGATGGAAAGTTTCAGAGTGACCTTTTTGAAGCTCTTAGCAGGGCTAGTCTGTTCCTGTCTCGAAAGCCTAGGTTATTCACAGCAGCACTTTAGATAGCAGTTTAGTTCACAGATCTGATAAAAGGGCAAATATGCTATTTGGGAAATTTTCAAGGGGACAGGCAAGAATATACCCTTTATTTTAATAGAATTATGAAAATTGAGATATTGTTACATTTGCACCTGAGAGTCTGAGCTCCCTGGTGCAGCATCAAATATTCTGTAGTCATTCTTTTACCCATGAGGAAATTGATTTATTGCCCTTCTGAAAGTCTTCCAGATTGCTAATTTGCTGTTATGTCAGACCTTACATGAAATGTTTTCATGGTCTCTGAGGAAAGTCAGTTTATGTTTCTCAGCTTTCTGTGACTTATCTAGGTGAATTTGTGTGATATCAAAGCTTTGACTTTTGCAACAGTTCCTTTCTAGTCATTCTAGAACGTGCAAAAAAGATTTTTTTTCTTGTTGCCAACATTTTAAAAAATTTTTTGTTGTGTTTAGTCAATTTTTAAGTATTTTCTCTTGTTTGTTTCTTTTGATGAGTCTGAATGCATTTATTTTTGAGAAAATTTGCATATTTCAAATCAATTGTCAAAGTGAACTTTGAGAAATTGTATACAGTCTAAGTGGAGGGTAGAAAGAGAATGAGTTGCCTATGAATGTCCATATATGATCATGTAGAACAGCTCTGCCACCGTGTTCTTGAGTGCCTTGGCTACTGAATGAGAATGCTGTGAGAGTCAAACTTTATAAACAACTCTGAGAATTCCATTATGCAAGGAAAATATGAAGGACTATCAAAAGTTTCTCAGGAAAAATTTTTTTTTACTGGAAGCCTTTACCTGTCACTCTATATTGTCATGGTTCCCATCAAAGCTGTCCTCATATAAATTTGTGCTCCTTCTTTTGCTTGGTTGTTGCATACACATCTACAGTCTGTACTTAGCAAATTATTGTTGCTCATTTGTATGGTTCTCATGACTTTATCATGATCAGTGAAACTGTCCCTTAAACCAATTATGCATGTGCAAGCACATTGTCACTGTGCAAACTTGAGTGCTATGGATTGCATTGCAGATGCTGGCATAGGATGAATTGTAGACATATTCACAATTACTGTAAACCAGTTGGAAGAAGTACAGACCTTGTACACCTATTGAAAAAGTATATACACTCACAAGAGGACTGCTTTGAAGGAGACCATGGACAACCATATCTGTTACTGTGAATGAAGGCCCTACAAAAAATATCTCCTGATACTTCTTTTTTGTAAGTCCTAAACATATGATCTATGGCAAGTATGGTCTGATGCTGGAAACCCTGTGTATTTCCTAAAGTTCTAGATGTGTATGTGAGATTCCTAGAGGTTATTTACTAAGAAATTGAAAGAATTTTCTCGCAAATGAATTTGTGCACCAGCACTATACCACAGGAAAAGTTTGTGGGCATCGAATTTTTGAATTAGTGAAATGTTGACAGTTAATTCCAAGAGCATCGATGCCATGTAATGCACCATTCCACTGGTACTACATATATATCATTTTCTAAAATGTATTTCATCTTCATAGCTCATGTAGATTTTGATGCTGCATGCATTGTTTTCATGTCTAGTTGCCTGCTCTTGCCTCAAGAAACATCACTTATCCTATCACCTTTTTCTGGTTTGCACTTGCAAAACACTTG